AAGCCCCATCGGCGATGGGTGGCACCGCCGACGGCGGGGGGCACGCGGAAAGAGAGAGAGAGAGAGAGAGAGAGACCGAGAGAGAGGGAGGGTGCGAGAGAGAGCGAGAGAGAGAGAGAGAGAGAGAGAGAGAGCGGGGGAGGGAGAGCGCGAAACAACGCGAGAGAGAGGGGAGGGACCGTGGGGGGGGGGGCAGACGTGGCACAGGGGGAGGGCGAAGCATGGAACCAACACAGGGCGGCGTTAGAACGAGGCATGCGCACGTGTACGCGCATGTGTTATAGCTCCACGTTCCCATCGCGCAACGGCGCTAATGGCGCAAACGCTCGCTGCACAACGGTTTGCGGCGCGCAACTGCGCGCGCGGGGGGGGGGGGGGGGGGGGGGGCAGCTCGCCAAAACCGCCGTTTGCAAAAAGAGAGCGGCGTGGCGGGTGCATGGGCGCGCGGGTGTGCGTGCGGTGTGCGTGCGGGTGCGGGTGCGGGTGCGGGTGCGGGTGCGGGTGCGGGTGCGGGTGCGGGTGCGGTGTGTGTGTGTGTGTGTGTGTGTGTGTGTGTGGTGTGTTTGTGTTGTGTGTGTGTGTGTGAGTGTGTGTGTGTGTGTGTGTGTGTGCGTGCGGCGTGCGTGCGTGCGTGCGTGCGTGTGTGGTGTGTGTGTGTGCGTGCGTGCGTGCGTGCGTGCGTGCGTGCGTGCGTGCGTGTGTGTGTGTGTGTGTGCGTGTGTGTGTGTGTGTGCGTGTGCGTGTGTGTGCGTGAGAGGGAAGGGCGGGGCGGGGGGGCGGGGCGACGCGTCGGTTGCCCCAGTGGGCTGCCGAGGGCTCCCACATCGAAACATCAGGTGAGATGTCCATCGTTGGCCCCTGAACCCAAACTGGTCATGGAGCTGGCTGGTAATGGTGCGTGGGTCGGAATGGGCCCCAACGTGATGCGAGTGGCCATCTGCCCCCATCGCAGTGGCCCCCGTCGCCATCACCCTGCATGGGTCGACGCGCCTGACTTGGAACGGGGTCAGGCGCCCGCGAAACATGTGAACCCCGAGCCGCTGCACCGACAATTGAACTGATCATCTACACTGAATGGGCGACCACACCCCACATCCCCCACCAGCCCACCTACCCCATGCCACCCTCACCGATCCCCTCCCAGAACTGGCGCTGGGATCTTCGGCGCGCATGGGTGGGAACGTCGCCGCACAGACCGTAGGTGGCACGATGCCCTTGATATATTTCTGCGCACCTGAGTGGGAACGGCTGCACCCGCACTGACCAATGATGTTTCGGCGCGCCTGGGTGGGAACAGAGTCAGGCGCGTCGCCCCATCGCCGCCCTAGCTTGGCGCCCCTCATCGTTCCCCCCCCCCGCCGCCCCCACGGCGCATCGCATGTGAGCTCCGATCCGCTGCAGCGACGGGCGTATTGATGTGCGACCATTCATGGGCGACCAAGGACCCCCCCCCCATGTCTCTCCACCCCACCCCGCAGATCGTCCTCATAGATGTCATCCCAGAACTGACCCTGGATATGTCGGTGCGCCTGAGTGGGAACGGCTGCCAAGCTGGCCCTATATGTTTCGGCGCGCCTGGGCGGATACCTCGCCATCGCCCGGACGTCCATTCCCCGTGCGTTGTTCGGTTTTGTGAGCGCTCTTGCTTCGCAAGATGATCCAAGCTGCTCTTCGATGGCCCTCGCCGAAAAGACAATGGCCGATTCACACGTCCGAGCGACGCCGAGATACGTCGGTGCCTTTGGGTGGGAACGGTGGCTGTGATGGCACTGACTTTGTCGGCGCGCCTGTGGGAAACTGTGATGGCCGTATCGCCCCGCCCTTGCCCCCTCGTCATCCCGCCCCCGAACGCCCGAAACACAGACCGATGGCGCCCTCGGACGCCGCCAACCGCGCACCGCAAAGGCACACTGACCATATGAGAAATCCGAATGCGCACAGAAGACGCCCTGGTCTCAGACGTTTCGGCTCGCTTAGTTGGGAGCAGGGGGGGGACATGATCAGCAAGGATGGGACGCCCGCTGGTCCCCGTCGACCCCGCTGAGCTGGCGCCCGTTGTCGGCGCTCCCGCCTATAAGCTCTGCCATGTACCCGAGGTCGGCGGCGCTGCCGATGAGCTCAGCACGGCGCGTGGCGCCGACGTCCTAGCCGATAAGCTCTGTCAGATACCCGACGTCGGGGAGAGCCTCGCGCGTGCAACCGCTGAACGGGAGGGGCAGGATCGATGGGGCGATGGGGCAGCGCCACAAGTGGTGCGCGAGCGGTGGGGCGAGGGGCGAATGGGGGAGGGACGGGCGGTGCGACTACAGAAAGACAGCTGCAATAAAGAACGCAAACTGAATAATGACCCAACGCCACGCGAACGGCGATGCTGATTCACGGTGGCGCTTGGAATCTAGCGCTTGCGACGCCGAACTCGGGACAATAAAAGCGCAGGGGCACACGTGCAACGCTGTCCTACAAATTTGATTGGCCACGAAACAACCCGTCAACAATGCCGAAACTTGCGCCGCCGTTATCTGCATCGCCGTTCGCGCGTCTACGGACGAAGCCCCTGTTCGGCGACAGCAGCAATTGCGTGCACGACGAAGGGCACAACACCAACCACCGAATGATCTAAGGAACAGGGGGGCCCTGCCGAACACGCGGCTGACCTAATTCCAGCGTCTTGGTTGTGCAATCCCAGCGATGTCGCCGACGACGGCGCAGACACGCCCTGCCCTGCCCCCATAGCATCGGGCAGCGGCTGGCCGCCCCACCCAATGCTACCCCCTACCCCCACGCCGTCCATCCACCCATGCCACCCCCACGCCCCCCCCCCCACCTCATATTCACAATCCCCTCCCATCCCCACTTGACATCACCATTCCCGCCCCCCCTCAATTACGTCGCCCGTCCCTGCGCCTCCGCACTGACGCATCAGTCGCTGCTGCTGCTGCTGCTGCTGCTGCTGCTGCTGCTGCTGGAGCTGGGCGCCGCTGCCGCGTGCGCAGGCGACAACGCAGTTGCCGCTGCGTTGCGCAGCTCATCCCTGACTGCGTTCGGGGGCAGGGTCGCGTTCTGCCAAGATACCTGCGACTCGTGCGAGAGCCCTCCAGGGGGCAATGCTGACTCGAGCTGTGCAATCGTATATGTCCCGACAGGCGGTAAGCTCTCGGGCTCGAGCTGGCCATGCTCGCTCTTCCTATGGGACAGGCCGTACCCAGCGATGCACCAGGCTTGCAAGGCCAAGCGGATTTGTTCCATGTTCCCGCCGCCAGCGCTGAGATTACGGGTCTTTGTGCACATCGTGCACAAGGGCTCGCCATCATCCCTGTGGAACTTGCACGTCGCCTGCAGCCGCATCGAGCCATCTTTCTTCAACGCTGAACATGTGATCCTGAACGGGCCGAATGGCCCCGACGCTGGGTTCCGAGAATGGCGCCTTGCTGCCGCTGCATCCGACGCGCCAGCTGGCTGCTCTGGGGGCGGCGGCGGCATCTGCTGTTCCAGCTCGGGTTCGGGTGGCAGCGGCGGCTCTGGGTGCACTGGCGGCCCAAGTGGCGCGCCTGGCTGTTCGGGTGTAAACCCAGGTAGCTGCAGCTCTGGTGACCCTGAGCCTGGGGGCATCGCCGATTCTGGCTGCGGCTGGGCTGGGGGTGGGGCTGATGGTGTCAGAGGCCCTGGCGATCCTGGTGGCGTCGGGCAGTATGAGGGCGTCGGGCAGTCTGGAGACACCGTCGCTCCAGGCATCGGCTGAACGGGGCTTGGTGCAGACGGCGATGCATCTGGCAACGCGGGGTGCGGGTCGGTCTCGCATTGACGGGCTGGCCCAGGCGACGCAAGCGCTGGCGATCGAGCCCACGACTGGCAGGAGGCGTCGGAGTCAGCGCCCACCTCGAGCGGCGAAACTTGCTAAACGATGCACGTGCAACCAACTCCACACCCTACAGCCCTGCTTGGAGTCAAGAACATTAGACGCTACGAATACGGCCTTCAGTGAAGGCCGTATTCGCAGCGTCTAATGTCCCTTCTTGGGGTGAAGGCCCTTCACCCCAAGCAGCTCCTTACACCGCCATCCAAATCCAGGCTGACATGGGAACCTAAATGCATGATTTTCTTAAAACGGGACCTGAGGCCCATAAAAGCAGCCGCGATGTTTGTTAAGTATGATGGGCGTGCTAGCCCACCGTCACCCCGCAAAAGAAACATCCGGACACTAAGTGCGTCAAACACTCCATGGACCCCGAGCCTGGCCCCCATGGGCCACATACCAAAAAATCGATACATCGGTTGCACACGCAACGTGTGTTGGTCCTGACACCTCATCCCCGCTCGAATTGCCGCCGCCCCTGCTGCCCCCGCGGTCGCTGCCGCCGCCACCGCCAAGGCCCGAGGCAGCGTCCTGTGGGCGAACGAAGGGGGGCGAACCCCAACTGATAACCTGCGGGGTCAGAGGTGCGAACATGCGGGTGGAGTTACACAGTGGTCGGTCGAACGGCCTTGTCATCCCCCAACGGGGAGTGGCCAAATGCAGTCCCCCACACGTCACATAGCCCTACAGGGGCTCCACCGAAACACCCAGCAGGCGTGGCCGCATGCGGCCCCCCAGCCGTTGTCGGCACACCCCTCGCACACAACATGGCCCCATAGAGAACTCCACCGAAATCCCCAATGGGGCGGTGGCAGCATGCGGCCCCCCCCGCCGATTTCGGCACACACCGCACGCTTCGCGGCCCCATCGGGATCTCAACCGAAACCCCCTTCGAACGGCCCTTGTCTCCCCGCCCCTTCCCTGTCTTCCATGACATTCCCCTGGCCTTTCTCCCATCCCCTCCCCCCTCGCCCAGCCTCCCTCCGACTGCCCCCCCTCCTTCTCGTAACTCCAAACAGCGGAAACGTTGTCCCTGCGACGGGACTGCGCGCGAACGCGCTAACGGCCACAGTGGCCAAACACACCTCGCGGCGGGGAAGGCGGGTGGATCGATCGGACCACTGAGCAACAACACGCCCATTTGGGCCCCGTGGTCCTCGAGGGGCAGCGGCGCGGCAGCCTTCCGCTGCCGTTTCGGCGCCCTCGGGCGCGGGCACCCAGCGTCGTCCTGGATGGCCAGGCGCTTAGGACGGGCGGTGCCCAACAACACGGCGTAGTCCTTGTCGGCCAACGCGTGGGCGACGACCGACTTGCCCGCAAGCAGGCAGCGCAAGTAATTGGTGGAAATGGTCTTCTTGGCGGCCTGGAAGTACCAGGCCTTCTCGCTAGCAGCACTGTTCGGGTCATATGGCTGCGGCGTCTCGGCCTTCTTCCCCTTCCCGTGCGGCAGCAACTTGCCTGTCCAGCCCGCCGCTTGCAAGTCCAGGAGCAATTCAAATGCGTCCTTGTCCTGGCGTGGGGGCATGGTGGATTAAACACAATAAAAATATAGGTAACGTATTTAAACATTTCAGCCCGCGGTCCTTGTCCTGCACGCCAATCCTGGATCTCAGGGCTGGCGCTGGCTGCTGGAGCTTCTCAAAGGCAGCGATGTCCCGCACGCAAGCGAGGCTCATGTTCCAGCAGACGAGCTCGTCGCCCGCGTCGCCCGCCGCACGCCGATCCACGAGGCCAGCCTGTTCCAGGATCTCAAGCGTGCGGGGCGGCTGGGCGACCAAGGAACTCTCTGCGCCTGGAAAAGCGCCAGAGATGACCATGTCCGTGAGGATTTCGGACGCGAGCCCGTACTCCTCCCTGGGCACGTCCGCTGGCCACCACTTCGGCTGGTAGAAGAGCTGCCCCTCTGGCTGCCACTCGAGGAGGTCAAGGTGTAAGCGCGGGAGCGCCTCCAAATGACACCTGTGGAGCAACCGCGTCGACCCGACGTCAATCGCGACGTCGGCGTCGGCGTCGCCATCCAGCGGCGCGGCAGCATCCCCAAACCGTGCGCCAGACAACGCCACGAGAAGCTCAGTGGAGCCGCCTGGTCTGTCGTACCCGACTACGTCGTGCACGCTCACGGCCACGTCATCAGTGGTGAGGTTGGAACCCCGCGGCTTGATGATGTGCCGAATTGCTGGCCTCGCGTGAACCACCCTGAAAATACAGTGCTCGTGTGGCTCCAGCGCTGGGGGGGCGCCGTCTGGCGGCCCCAGGTCCAGGCCGCCGTCCGCAGGCGCGGGCGCCGCCGCAGGCAGCATGAGAGGAGGCGTGTACTGTGCGTCTGTGAGAGGCAACAGCCCAGGGACGCCGAAGCTCCTCGACCCAGAGAATGCCGATTCCATCTCAGGCAAGGAGTCACGCGGCAAAGCGATCGAATAGAACGCCTCCCGCTTGAAAGTTGTCCTGAGATGCGGCAGGGCTGCCGCCGATGCGATCTTGAGCCCGTGGTTCAGGGAATCGGGCACGTGCCCTCCTCCTCCGCTGTCAGTCTTGCCCTTCGGGAAGGCGGCCTTCAACGCTGCGTGCTGCTTCTGCTGCGTCTCACTGTCAAGTCTGCACAGCACGCTCGTGGCCGTAGATTTCTTGATGCGCCCAGTCTTTGCGAATTCCGAGAACACCGTCGGGTGCGCGTGCAACCCAAAAGCCTGCAGCAAACGCTCGGACGACGTCCTGATGCGGCCCATGTCGGCGGCCACATGCTCGAGGAGGCCTGGGTCGGCAGCCAGCCGCCGCTTGAAATCTGGCAGTTTCAGGTGGACGTTGACGAAGCCTCCCCCCGCGTGGGGGGCCCGAGACGAAGCTAGCTTGTTCAAGCGGTGCTTCGCCTCGATGGACCGCTCTGCAACGGGGGCGCCTAGGACCATGCCTGCTACTTGCCTGAGGCCAGGGAGGCTCTTGAGAGAAACCCCCTGCTCCACGAAGGCAGCCACCTCGTCGCGCAGCGGGGACGAGGGCGCCAGCACGCTGGCAGCCAACGGCCACAAACTGCTGCGCTTGGACTCGTCGAGCAAGGCGTACTCGCGCAAGCACGCGTGCAGCCCGAATCGCGCAGTGGCCTCTGAGGTTCCACACTTGTCAATGGCACCCAGCACGCAAAACTTGTGCGGCAAGTACGCCCAATGTGCATACTTGATCTGGACCACTTCCATGATCACTGCACGAGCGCACTCCCAATCACGCACGACCATGTCACGGTCCATCTGGGTCAGCTCCTCGCACCTGACCAGCAGGCGGCCCAAGGACTGGGTCACGAGTTCAGCCAGGTACTCCTTGTGCTTCCCTGCGGCCAAGTCTGGGGCGCGACGGCCCCTCATCGGGCAGGTCGAGTGCTTGAGGCCAGTTTCGCCGATGAACTCCGCCCGCCTTCTGAAGTACGGGCGGCCTGCGGCAAATCCATCCTTCTCGCGGCAGTCCACTGCGTGGCATGGGCAAGATTCCATATAGTTCTGAAACTCGTAGAGGCAGCCGTGCACAGCACATAATATTGCATGGCCGTACACCCAGAACTTCGGATCGCGCACCGCCTTGGCGGGCTCCGAAGAAATCACAAACGCACTGCCGTCGAGGTAAAACACTGGCCGCCCGCCCCGCCAAGACTAAACAAGAACAACCCGATGCATTGGATGCGCGAACGTGTGACTACCCCGCTAGCCACGGGCCGAAGCGCCGCGCACCCCAAGCGGGGAACGCAGGAGGAGGAGGAGGCGGAGGAGGAGGACGACGACGAGACCGACGACGAAGAGGATGAGGAGGTGGAGGGAGAAGGAAGAGGGGAGGGGAGAAGAGAAGGAGGACGCGACGGGGGGGAGGAAGAGGAGGAGGAATAGGAGGAGGAGGAATAGGAGGAGGAGGAATAGGAGGAGGAGGAGGAGGAGGAGGAGGAGGAGAAGGAGGAGGAGGAGGAGGAGGAGAAGGGGAGGAGAAGAGGAGGAGGGGGAGAAGAAAAGGAGGAGGACGATGAGGAGGAGAGAGAAGGAAGAGGAGCGAAAAGGAGATGGGGAGTGGGGAAGAGAAGGAGGACGACGACACGGGAAGGAGGAGGAGGAGAGGAGGAGGAGGAGGAGGAGGAGGAGGAGGAGGAGGAACAAGGGGGGAAACGAGGTGTCCCCTCCGGCCCTCCGGCGACGCCTGCAGCCTTCTGCTGCGCGAGCTCCAAAGCCCCCGCGCGGGGTCCTCGGCTGGCGCGTGCTATGGTCTGAGGACCCCTGCGCGGCAGTATGTTTTCCCAACGGGGGCTGGAGCTGGAGCGTGCACAAGGAG